ATATACAGTCACTGTCTTTATATACAGTCAGTGATCATCTTTGTGATCGTCTTTATATACAGTCAGTGATCATCTTTATATACAGTCAGTGTCTTTATATACAGTCAGTGATCATCTTTATATACAGTCAGTGATCATCTTTATATACAGTCAGTGTCTTTATATACAGTCAGTGATCGTCTTTATATACAGTCAGTGTCTTTATATACAGTCAGTGATCATCTTTATATACAGTCAGTGATGGTCTTCATATACAGTCAGTGTATTTATATACAGTCAGTGATGGTCTTCATATACAGTCAGTGATCATCTTTATATACAGTCAGTGTATTTATATACAGTCAGTGATCGTCTTCATATACAGTCAGTGATGTATACCCTCAGGTGGCTGTAACATCGAGGGAGAGGATGAGAGCTGGGATTTCGGCACCGGTGCTGGTTTCTATGTTGACGCCACCCAGGAGCCGTGGAAATCAAACTACCGTATGTACTCGTACGTCACAGAGGAGGTGAGTTTGAATCCTCATGAACTTAATATTCCCTCAAAAATATCCTTCATTTCAACTAATATGTGTTGTTGATGATCTGTCTCAGCTCGTCAAGTTGATCAACGCTAACTTCCCCACCGACCCAGACAGGATGTCCATCAGTGGTCACTCCATGGGCGGACACGGGGCGCTCATCTGTGCCCTGAAGAACCCTGGGAAATACAAGGTACTGTGTGGTGCAGAATGTGGTTTTCTTTATCACAAATCCTGTTTAACATGATGAGTCTGGCGTCTGTCTCCTTCAGGCTGTGTCTGCCTTCGCTCCCATCTGTAACCCCGTGCAGTGTCCGTGGGGACAGAAAGCCTTCGCAGGATACCTGGGCTCCGACAGGTCCACCTGGGAGGTGAGAAATCTGTGGTCCTGCTCACGTTTAAGTTATTACTCGTCATCTTCAACCTTCACCTGAGCTGAGGTGACCTCACAGTGTCGTCATCAGAGGAGTCGAAGGAGATGATGAATCGTCTTCATTCTTTGTTTCATCGTTGTTTTCATCAACTCTGCTGCTCTACTTGAATATCGCTCCGATCGTCAGCCGGCGCCTGAAACTCTAAAAACCTATTTGTTTGAGAACACTAACAAACTTTCTGCATTTCGCCTTCACCTTGAGTATTTCAGCAATATTCGATTTATTTCATTTGTCACATACAGATATGAATCCAGCCCTTCTTCATTTTACACTTTCTGATTTTTTATAAACCAAATGATTAATCACAGCGTTTCTCAGACTTGATTGATTCTGTGACGGCAACAGACGAGCATGAGAACGAACGTCTCTCTCACATGCAACAGATTCCAAACCAGGAGACCAAAGACTGATAAGTACAAGATATTTTAGAATAACTTTTTTTCTGAAAGTCATAGAGACTTGGAAGTTGGTTCCATCTCCACTAATGTGGGTATGCCCGATCCATTGGTACCACCCGCAGGCTTCTACGACCTTTGGAAGGGGTAGGGTT